CCCTGAATACCTCTATGCTGATCACCTCTTTATATTCCTGCATGCAGCCCCTTCAATCTTCAATCACATTTTTGTTGGCAAAAGTTTATTCACTTTCGAGATAACTCCACTTTCATTTCATGCTGCATTCTTTTTTAAGTCCCCTGAGCACATCTGGATGTTTCTTCCTCTATGCCAGCCTGTCATCTTGCATTTGTCTTCATTACAACAAGGATTCCTTTGCATTCGATTTGCCACTTTGTCTGACAGGTTCTCACCCAATCTGCATGTTCCTTGGAGGCAGTAGCCACTTTTCATTTATTGTTATACACCCAAAGCACGGGGTACCACTTTTCCCCTGCAAGCTGACATTCGCACCTTCATTAATATCTCTGTTGCCTACCTCTCTAGAGGTTATTTTTCCTCCTTCAGCACTTAGCTAAAATGCATTTTCTCATTAAAAAAAAAAAAACTCCTCTGATTGGGCTCACTTCTCTGTAATTACTCATTCATTTTTATTATGTCCTCAGCATATGTGCTCAAATGGTTTAGATTCTATTCTTAATTCTAGCTCAAGCACCTTATGTATTTAAGGGTCACTGCTGAAATCGTGACAGCGGTGCTTTTAAAAATTAATTTCCTTTAAAATATCCATTTCCTTTGCAGTCGAAACCAATTACCTAAGTAACAGAAATACAGATGAAGAACATAAAGCCACGGAAACTTTCAACACCAAAGATTTTCGAAAGGAATTGGAACTGCAAACTGGTAAGAGGCACAGAGCTTAAATTCCCCAATGCAAAGGAGTTGCTCCCCCCCCGCCCCCCCCCCGGAGGCTTTCTCTCCATTGCCTTTGTTTCTTCATTGTCCAGACACTGCAGTGCTGCTCAGCCCCATGGAAAGGCTTAAGAAGAGCCAGATGGTTATCAACCTGCCCTCTGAGGCGGATTGGCCCCTAGTATTGAAGCAGTTTGGGAGAGGAGTAAAAGAGTGGTGCACAGCATATTCAGAAAAGTGTGGTTTGCTTGTTTGTTTGTTTCATGTGCTCAGGGTCTAAAAGCTCAGAGCAAACATAAACAAAGGGAGAGGGGATAAGCGACCTTCATTTGTTCTCCCCACACTACATGCTGCTCTCCTTTTCTTGCTAGAGACTGTGCTTTCCTTGCCAAACTATAAGTTCCTGGAGCTCATCAGCCACATGTTTCTTTTGTATTCTCTAAACCTTTCAGCACACCGAGTACATAGTGTATGCTCAAGAAGCACCGTTGACGCACTGATTGCTACGTACTTAACTATTTTTCTTCCCTGGCAAATTTTCAGGAATGCCTATTATTCACAAGGCTGTGGCGCCTTGGAAGCCAAAAGGAAGCAACCATCTGTTGGTATACATTTTCCCTTAGCTATGCGTTATACAGAGATTTCCTTTGGAAAAATAAACAAAGGATGCTTGATGAGCCAGGACAAAGAACTAAATATAGAGTTCAAGTGGCCAGAGTATCAAGGTCAAAGCATGCCCTTCCTTAGCCAGATTAAAGGAGAGCAATGGACCTACATCTACATCTTTCGCATGGTCTCCAGCCCCAAATGACATGATTTCCAAGCACCTTTGTTTGGGGGGGGGGTTCTTGGAAGCTGAGCCTCAAGTATAAGCTACAATTCAGCTAATAAATCTGTGGTGATCTTAACCTCTGTCTCTGGAATAATAGGAAGAGTCCAGCTTTGTTTACTTTCTGAGGAGAATAGGGAACAGAGAAAAAGCAGGATGGGGAGGCAGTATTTATGGACTCTTTATGAAAAGTCAATCTGTGACAAAAACACTCTCAAACAATAAGGAAGGGGAACAGGTTTGGCAGGAATATAACCTATTCCTGTTCTTACCAAAGTGTTGTGTTGTAGCTGGCATCCTCCACCACCGCCCAATGTGAAGTGCTTGAATTACACTGAGAATATAGAAGTCATTCTCTACAGACAAATTTAGATGAGATAAAATGGAGGTGGGGGAGATCCAGACGCCATTCAGTGTCTGCCTCTCATAATTAGCATTATCCTACTATTTACTTCATTGTATGAAGTACTTACATGTATTTTTGAAATCTCAAGTCCCTGTTTTAACTGCAATACTAATCCTGGGGCTTGTCCTGAAGCCTTTTGGACATACAGGCTCTGTGTTGAATGAGTATAATAGGTAGTCTGAATGCACCCTATTATTAAAGGGGAAGGTAAGGGCATATCTCTAAGCTTTCAGAAGGGATGATGTCATAAAGAACAGCCATGGACTTTCATAAACCATTCTGGAGGGGCCCTGTCCAGGATAGACTCTTAAAAATAAGAATTCTTTGAGGATTTTATTCAATGTATTTTAATCTGTCAGAGTCCCTGTAACTTCCTTACCACTCCTCCCAACTTCATTCAGGACAGAACCCTAAACAGAATAAACTATACATTATTAACTCTTACAAAAGCATGTTCAAAACTATTGTATTGTCTCACTGTTCTTTGGTGGTTCCTAGTTAGTGCTTTTATTCCATTATCTATAGCCCCTGTACAGGTGTAACCACATCAGAGTGGATTTTTATAGTGTGTAAGCCATTCTGTATGGAGATAGCATGCCTAAGCTCTTCTCCTTTACTTAGCATGATGCCATACATAAAAAGCTGATCTTTTGTGTAGCCAGAGAAGACAGTAGCTCACATAATGGGATTTAACAAACATCCCTAAGGGTGCTATTTAAATAGATGCTTTACTAGATCACCATGGGATTCCCTCTTACTTACACATGGTACTGCTAGCACTACTTCCTTAAGGCACAGGTTAACTTCTGAATGCTAACTTCAGAAAGCCACATTTGAACTATTACTTCTTGGGTTATGATATTGCTCCATGGTATAACACTTGCCTAGCACTTGCTCAGCACCCAGAGAAAGAAAAATCACCTGTTATCCAAAGGCCAGAGGGCATTCTACCCTACAAACACAACAATGGATTATTTTATGAGGCCTGCTGCTACCACTTCAAAGGAACAGAACAAATATTAAGAAGAACTGGTTCCCAGAATAGCCTGTGAAAAGTTGGAAGAAGGCTGTGCTTAGGCGAGGCTGGCTAGTATGATAAATTGCCCAGCTATCAGGAAAAGAGATTTTAGAGAGATTCTAACTTGTAAGAGCAATAGGACAAACCAAAGCTTTTCTCTTTTCACGATTACCTTCTCTATACTTACTAGTCCTTTAATTAGAGTGAATGCAAGGATAGTTTCATTTCTAACAACATTTTATTCACTATTATCTATTACTCCCCCGCTAATCATGTAAATTCTAAGCTGAGGTATCCCTTATCCAATTTTCTGCTTAAAATACTCTCTTCCCTTTGACACTCTAGATCCCTTACACTATATATAACCTGACGGCATAATCAAAAGCTTTGATAAAATAGAGCGAAGAGGGATTTTGATTGGTTAGAGACTACTCAGAGATAATAACTTTCTGCTTTGTTTCTTACTTCTTGGAAAAGATGAGACAGTAGAAGAAAAGACCAAAATAAAGACAGCAACCATTGACAGAGCCCTGACTCGTGCAATCTGGAAAAAGGCAGTGAAAAGCACAGTGTCAGTCCTACTTCATATTTTACAGGTGAGAGGTCTTAACCTACTTATCCTCATGTAACCAGTTAGTTCATACAAAAGGCAAGTCAGGAATCTAATTTTCCAACACCGCAATGCTCCTTTTCATCATTTATGCTTTCTCCCTACACCCACAGCACCCCATTCTATCATTTCACATGTGAGTTTAACCAGGACCCCAAGTACTCTGTACAGATCAGTGCCCAGCAGGGATTATATTACCAACATATATTCATCATCTAAGTATGTTCCCTCCACTAGAAGAAACCAAAAACTTTAAGACCAATTAGTTGGGGGATGTGTAATTACTTATACACAAGGATTCATTACCTTAAGAGATTATTCTTCTGTCTTAAAGAGGAACCCTGAACTGGGATCATGATGAAATGATTTATTTCATCATTTAAAACAAAACAAACTTGATTTTCTTTCACTTATCTGTTATACAAGAAAGATTAAGATTAATAGTGAATTGTAAGACTCTATAAAGAATTAGAAAAAAAATTACCCAATCATTGCCTATGAGACATCCTATATTTTATTGGTCCGTATTTAGATTTTAAGTATTATTATCAGTTATTACATAAACCCACACAAAACAAAATGATATATGTGGAGTTTAGTATATGCTTTTAAGAGAAAAAAGAAAGAATAACACCTTTCTTTTATTCTGTCCTGCCAAGGAGCACTGAACTCCCCTTCTAAGCTCCTTTGTTTGTCTGTTTGTTGGTTTTTTGAGATAGGGTTTCTCTGTGTAGCTTTGGAGCCTCTCCTGGCACTCACTCTGTAGACCAGGTGCTGACCTCTGCCTCCCGAATGCTGGGATTAAAGGTGTGTGCCACCAATGCCCAGCTCTTCTAAGCTCTTTTAATATTCGACATTGGTAATATTTTTAAACCTTATACTTGTACAGCAGTTCATAATTCAGAAAATTGAACCATAGACATTATTTGTTGATTACAAAAAGACTAGGTAAAGGAATTAAAAATAAGTGAAAAGATGATGAGTGAGAATATAGTTAGGACCAGGGCTATGGGATGAAGGGAAGATAAGCTAGGATGGGAGGAAGCAATGATGATCAGAAAGAATGTTGCCTCGAATGAATACCACCCTACCCTAAGGATTCATCATTGAAGGATCACTTCCTTTATGATTCTCATACCATCTACTGTTTGAAAAGAAGTTCATCTGTTCATCTGTTGTTCCCCACAAACCATCACCATTACCTAATTTTAAAAATCATCCATATCTGTGACCTACCTTAGAACAAAATTCATAAAGGCATGAGAGCCTCTACATTACAATTCAGTCCTTCACCCCAAATGGCTGAGCTACAGTCTGACCAAATTGAAGTCCCTCCAAAAACCATTCAAAGAAAAAAATTGCAAATATTACTGTTACATACCTCAACTTGCTGGCAGATCTGTATTAGTTTGGCCATTTGATTTTCTAGTTCGCTGTTGCGTTTAACCAGGTTGGTGAGGTTCATCTCCAGAGTTTTCTGCCATCGCAGAGTGTATGAAGCCAGCGAGAAACAGGAGAAAGGGGGGAAAACAATGAACAATGAATGTGAGAACCAAGGTAATATGGAAATAATTCAGGCAAAAGACGGCTCTCTCCCACTTTTTTTTTGGGGGGGGAGGTGTGTCACAAGAGTGACATAGAGCCTCACTCTATAGCCCATGTTTGCCCTGACCAGCGGGGCAGCAAGGAAGGCCTGAACCTCAAAGGACCTGGAATGAATGAAGAACGGGAGACAAGAGAAACCTGGCAGCAAGACAGGCTTTCTCTACCTGTCAGGAAGTTGGGGAGGGGGAGAAGGTAGATTGGGATCAAAGGTAGCAATCTTCTAACTCAATGGGCTATTCTAAGATAAAGGCTGGCAATCTCTAAGGCTCATGCCACGATCGTTCCCGCTGTTGACTTCACACTTACAGTGATCCCCCTGCCTCAGCCCACAAATTCCTAGTATTGTAGGTATACGCCCCTCAATGAATATAGAACTGAGGGCCTCGTACAGGCTAAGCAAATGCTACACTACTGAGCCATACTACCAGCTCAGTAGATTCATAGTTCATAAGTTTGCCAAGTCTGCTACAGACCAAGAATAGGAAATATTCCCTGATTGAGGGAGAGGTGGCATTCATGACTTTGTAGACTAGTACAGGAATTTGCGGACATTAAGGCAACCTAAAGGTTTCATAATTTTATATTATCGTTAACTTTTCAAAACATTTCATGGTCATCTCCTTTTGCTCTCCAAGAAAGTCCAGCAACATAAGAGAACTAAGGTGTAATATCAACTTTTATTCATAAACAGACTAAGAAAACTATAACATGCATGTGTGTATGTGCATAGCAGGTGCATACTGTATGGTGCACATGTATGAAAGTGCACATACATGTGTATGTACACACTTGTGGAGACTACCATCCAACTCTGAATTTTGTTCATCAGGAGCGATCCACCTTGCATTTTAAGAAAGGGCACTCATTTGCCTGTTGCTCACCAATCAGGCCAGGGTGGCTAAACAGTGAGCCCCAGAAACCTGCCTGTCTCTGCCCCCCCCAGCACTGGGATTACAAGTTTACACCACCATAGCCAGCTTTACTACATGGGTTCTGGGGATCAAACTCAAGTCTTCATGCTTGCATAGCAAGCAGTTTACCAACTGAATTCTTTCCCAGGCCCCATCATTTATTGAATGAGTGCTTCTTACCAGACAATGTTTTATGTATCATTACTCTAACAATCTCACAAAGAAGAATATGCTAGCATTTTAATGAGGAAGAAGTGAATGGCAGAGTGTAGTGTATGCAGCAAAGCTAGGACTGAAACCTGGATTTCTCATTTCTCCAGTTTCCAATCAATACTGTATGTTTTGCATTTTTGATTATAGCATTATATACCTACATTATATACTTACCAGTAGGCCTATTCATGAAAAGTATATTGTACCTTGAATGTGACATCCACCAAAGTCAAACTTTGTATCTCACAGTTTTACTTTTTATAGAGCCAGAGTTTCAAACACAAAGCCTTATTCTATCTGGAAAATATCTACTATTTACAGTCACTTTTAGGTTCAAATGAAAATCACTTTGCAGACATTTTGAACATAACATTTAGTTGTACTAGTACCTAGAACTCCAACATATTTCCAGTTGAACAAGCTATTCTCTCCTATTTTTGTGTGAAAACTAAAACACCATGTCTCTCTATATTGATCATGGATGTTCATTCTTCCCTACCTCCAAATTTTAGCTTTGATGTCTGCTTCCCCTCCAGAACTAGTCTCAATATATACCACTCTCTTATGAATACTCCACCAAATCTGCCCCAATTTCCTGACCCTCATACTGGTAGTTTTCTATCCCTGGAACATACTCATTGTTACATTGCTATCTCCATGGTTGTTATGATTTATAGTTGTTCAAAGTTCATGCTATTGAAAGAGAGGATGGGAAGGGCACTGAAGAGTAAGGGAATTTAGACAAAGAGAGGGGACTCATGCTCTTGGATCCTTTCCTGTCTAGGAAGTAGCTGTGACTTCTTAATAACCTTGGCACTGTTTTTATGAATGTGTCACAAAGCATATATTCATATAGATATATGTATAGCTAGGCTGGCTAATCTGATTGAGAACGAGTGAACAAAGGAATTTTGTAGACCAGCTTAATGTTCCCTTCATGTCAGGTTGTGATGGTTGAAATGTGAACTATTCTCCATAGACTCGGATATTTGAACATTTTGGCACTGTTTGGAGAGGTTATGAGGAGGTGCAGCCTTGCTGGAATATGTGTATTATTGGGAGTGGGCTTTGAAAGTCCATAGCCTTGCACCATTTCCAGTTCACTCTCTGTGGTGCTTGTTAGCAGATAAAGGAGTGATAGATAACTCAGCTTCCTACTCCTGTAGCCATGCCTGCTGCTTACAACCATGGTCCCCCACCATGATGCACTCTTATCCCTCTGGAACTGTAAGCCAAAAGGTTTTGTTCTATAAGTTGGCATTGACCTTGGTGTTTTATCATAGCAACAGAAAAGTCACTAGCACACAGATCTTTCTTGGTTTCTTTAGCTTTAGTCCATGGAGTGACCGGTGCCGCCTCTGCTTGATTTATTCATTTCTTGAGGACTCTCTCTCAGCTTTCTTTAAGTCTGCTACCATCTAAATCTGTGTTCTCAAGAGAAAGGAGTGGGAGTAGGGGCAGAAATCACTGAATTAGGCATAATCACTAAACTAAATGGATGTCAAAGAGAAAAAGAAGAAACGACAGTTCAGAGATTTGCCACAACAAAAACATATTAAGCATCTATTCTGCTCAGGGTGCAGTAATGGATCTTGAAAGATGAGCAGGAATTTAACGGAGATGATGGAAAGCTGGGTGTTCCAGGCGTGAGGAAGGAATAAGATGAGCAAAGTTAAAAGTAAAGCAGGCAGGAGTGGTGGCACACACCTGTAGCTGCAGCTACTCAGACAGCTGAGGCAGGGGAACAACTTGAGCTTAGGAGGTTGAACTTTTGTTCAGTTCCTATGTACTAAACAACATTGTAAGTCTCCTTTTCTCCGTAAAAATAAATATTATTAATATTCAGGGATCAATAAACAGTTTAGTTTGGTTAGAACACAGGGTACCAGGATGAAAACGGAGATCAAAGCCCTGTTTTGCTGGGTGTGGTTGTACACATCGTTAGTCCAAGCACTTGGGAAACAAGGACATGCAAACGTGAGTGTGTTCCAGGTTAGTCAGAGCTATAGGGCAAGTTCCAGGCCAACCAATGCTACATAATGAAAACCCATCTTGGGGAGGGGAAAGAGTCCTGTTTTGAGGGTTATGCAAATAGGTTCGTACCTATTTGTTTTAGTACTGTGGGGCTTACTAGGGGCTGTTGAATAAGGAAATGACATAATCATGGCTACATTTAGTATATTAACCTCACAGCAATATGGGGAACAGAGCAAAACAGGAAAGCCTGGAACGCAGGGACTTTGCTTGTGAAGATACTGCAATATTCAAGACAGTTGCAGATGCCGGTCTGGGCTAAGCTCGGAGGACAATCACGAGGAACATGTTTCAGGAAAAGATTCATCACTGTCAAATATGCAACGACCAAGAGAAATGTGAGAATTTATTTTCAAAAGTGGGGAGTGGGCTAGGTTGGGTAATCAGAGGTAGAAACTCAGCTTTGTAAAAGTAGTTTTAGCGGGGATTTGGAAGTAGATGCTAAAGCATACAGGGTTAGAGTACATCAGAAGGCTGCAAGCCTAGACTCCTCGCCAAAAGTTCAAACCATAAAGTGAACAGAATAGATCTCAGCTTGTTCAAAGGGTCTCGTGTAAATAAGAGAGGAAATTACTAATGGAACCAATGGAGTCAAAAATTTCCCCTAAGAGTAGTCCACATCCCCAGATCAATGGAAAGTCTATGTTCCAAACATCATTATACTGACCTACTTGATAAATAGCCCATTCATTGATAAACCCAGAAAAGAAAACTGATTTAAAATTCTGTGTTTCCCACCACAATGTGTGTGTTTCCATTCAGACATGTGATTTCACTGCATGAATGTTTTTTTTTTTAACAAGCACATGAGACCTGTTGTAACACTGGCCTTGAAATTGATATATCATAAATAATTCATACTGCAGAGCAGGATTAAGATCCCTGCTGTGCGTTCCTCATTTATGGCCCTGAACTGAGAGTCATGGCTTGTATAAAGCTATGGAAAACAAAAATTAGGGCTGAACACATAATTTAGGGTCTGGTTAGATTACAGGCCTTGAGTTACCATCACAAAATTATGGCAAATGGTTAGTTTGCTCTGGCCCCCTAGCAATTTGCAGAATGTCAGTCCATTTGAACAACACGGTTCTAGAACTGACAAGATGACTCTAATTTCAACCTTGCTTCATTAATATGAAAAATGCTTTGAAAAATAAATCTTTGGCTAATGAAAACACCATCTGTTGATGGCGTTTTGCCACTGTTTTCTTACATTTGAGACGTAATTTGGGGGGAAACACTGAACATTTACTTACTTCCTATTCATTTGTAAGGAATTAAAGCCTCCTTTCAAATTGGAATTGATCCTCAATAATGAACACATTCGAAGGGAAGCAGCGTTATCTCCTCGCCCTTTCCAACAAGATCAGCACTCTCAAATCCTTTAGAACCAAATTCCTGGGCCCCTCTAGGTTTGAATGACTTGGATCCACTTGGCCATGTAATTATCTTGTCTATACCATGTCTGAGTAAACAAAGTTGATTTGTGTGTTTGTGTGTGCACTCACACAAAATCTTTTCATGTCAAAATAAACATGCCTCTTTGTTATTGTAATTAAGTTTTAAAGAATCACTTTGTTTTGCTCCTCTCTATGTATCCCATTTAATAACTGGGCTAGGTTCCCTCTGTCCAGGCCCAGTCAGTGTAACTTTCTCAAAACAGTTGAACCATGACAGCAGGAGAGCCAGAGTGGCAGGGGAGATTGGAATGGAG